AAATTTGCTTTCACACATCATTTCATACTTTTATTGGTAAATAAGTTTTGAAATCAATCAAACATATAAAAATTATGTCTGTGAATTCAATCTCAGACATAATAGACATGTTAGTGGCCAGAGGTTCTCTAAATGTCTGAACTCTATATACATGCATGTAAACAAATATGTGAATGTATAGATATACAGCATACCATTAAATAAATATGAGCTAAGAAAATGACCTTTATTTGTAAGGAACACTTCATATTCAACTAGAAGTATAATTTTATGGCAGGGCTAAAACAATAAAGAAAATTTCACACTCCCTCCAAATTCCTGCAAATAAAGGTCATGCTAGAAGTATAAAATATAAAAATTATTCATCTGCATATCTAAACCCAGTAAAAATAAAATCTTCTTCCAAACCTGGAGGAGGAAAATGAGCCCGAATGCACATTACGGCACATGAAGGCAAAGTCACCCTTATTTCTTTGCCCAAAATACCCCAGCACCAACGAACAAGTTGACGATATGCAACATGTCTATTCCGTTTGTGCTGGGGAATATCACGTAAATCGCCTCCGTAATRTTGYCGATATTGAAACCAGGCCGTTTGAAGAACCCAGCGATTAGTGCACACCGCTAAGAAGCCAGGRTGCTGTGTGATGCAMGAGGTCTCAGCMAAGCCATCAACTTCGACTGCTTCACGAAGTTTTGATTTTATTTGATCAATCTCCTGGCAACATATGCACTCTACTGGCCTATCCATGATTTGACAATGCTCGCACATGCACCTAAGAGTTTTAAAAAAAGACTAAGGCAGTGGAAAGAAGGGTAAAAGGCAATTTCTAACGTACCAGTTGCTGTTTCGAAATCTTTCATGGCGGCCATCGTCTTCGATCTCGTGGACTTCTTCTAAAGGTTCCCGTCTGCGGCCAACGGGCTCAAACCGCCAAGGTAAAATAGAATTGGCCTCTCCKTCCCCTACAAGTACCTCTGAGCCATCGGAACTACTACTATCGCTACTGGAACTACTATTATTCGAACTTATACTACTGCAATCCTCCTCGCTAGCCATGTTTACTACAATGCCTCAAATGGGTTACACACGTGTGACGTAACGACATCACGTGACTGTTAATCGAGACGTTTCTTACGGAGGTCAGAAAAACCAATCTTTCCCCCGAAAAAAAACTATCAAAAACTGAAAGAACGAGCTTAAAAAGGTTTAATATATGTTAAAAAACATATAACCAACTTATTCAAAAAGACCTCTTTTTTTGCCGGGACGGGTCCTTTAACCAAAAGGCCAGGGAGTGAGGGGGTAGCCGCCCACTAGAGCATACCTTTAGCTACCCTCTTAGACCATCGTACTATGAAGACACTTATAGATATCTAAAATCTAATTGGGGTAGTCTATTCGGTGAAGTTCTATGCTAATATATGACGTCACCAAAATCCTTAGGGATTAGAGAGCCAATCAGAGCTCAGCTCGGGAATTAGCAAACGATACAGGCTTTGCATAATCATTCTTCAGTGGATTTATTATTTGATGGGGGTGGGGGTGGGTGCTGAGTGCTGGTTTGCGGCTGAATACCGCTGTTCGATGTAATATGACGGCTTTCACCAAAGCTGTTCAATTGTTGTTATKGTTTTCCAAATCATCACAGGAAAATTAGGTGTACAGTTCATATATCAGACATAAATTGTTAGTATTCGGATAAACACCAAGGTACAAATCTCTTGAAATTCTTAAGGTAAGTGGCTTACAAACCAGGCGGATATTTGCTGGAATTCAACGGACCTCTAACAAAAATAACAAATAATAACGGACCTCTAGAACGTTCCATGTACATTTTCGTTCTTGATAGCATAAAAGTTTACGACATTCTTGAATATATATAATGAACGTTAACAATTGGAAAACGATCTGAATGATAATCTGTATAAATTGATACGTACAGAAATCAAGAAAAAACTAGCAAGCTTTCGGTTTTATTGCAAAACTATAAAGCGAAGATTTGTAATTTCAAAACATGGATGTTAGAAAACCGTTTAGATAATAAACACATTTTATCGGAGAAAACGTTCCAGAATTTATCATGAGTTTATAAGTCAACAGATACATAAAGATGTCTTTGATTACAGCTAAATTAAATCTGTAAGACCGCTCCATGTCGTGGATAAAAATGCCTTTTCCGAATCTTTCAGACGGATATGTTTACTGTAGACAGGGAAACAGGGTGCCCCGCGTCACGCCCCACGGGAGGAGTGATCAACCATCACAATAGGTTCCTTGGCCCCTGGGAATCGCCGTCTATTATGCATTCATAGGCAACGTAGTGGTTGATCGCCACGTGATGCTTCCAGATCCTTGCAGCGCATACAGATAATTCAGAAAACGTTTTATACTAAAGATAGTGTATTCGAAGTTTACTAAATCTCTTAATGCCCAGAGTCACATTCAGTCCTCGACTGCCTATTTTATTATTTTTTTTTTTTTTCGAAGATTGAAACTTGCAGATATTGTAAAGATGAAGCGTGTGTTCTTGACCCAGGCTGCTCGTTCGTAAATTAAACAGACATTCTATCCTTTGATTATCATTAAAGGAATGAACTTTATGTTTTTTTTAAGTAAAAAAAAAAAATCTGACAAATAGCACAACTTTTCAAACCGAAGTTAGAAAGTCGTAGAATATCGGGTGATTTCCGTTACTCATTCGTCCCGTGTTCGCCCTCTTTTCGTAAACAGAGATTCGGTCTTTTTCAACCGGGCGGCCATGGCAGTAAAGGGAATTTTGAGCAAAAGATGTAAAATTCAAGCAAAGACTCACATAAATACAGGTAAATAATATCAAAAGAATCTTAACATACGCTAAGAAGCAATTACAGTACATTGGTTATAATTTTGACTTTGAAAATTCTGAACTTTTGCAGGAGTGTGCCTAGCTAAGTTTATAACGTACTTAAGTTAACTTTAGCTTAATTTAATAAGACTTAAAGCTAACTTAAGTATAACTTAAGTTTAGCTTAAGTTTATAACGTAACTTTAAGTTAATAAGACTTAAGCTAACTTAAGTGTAACTTAAAGAACTGTAACTGAACATTTTTTAAGCAACCTCTATGCCCATTTATCCTAATTTACTGGGCATATAACTTCATTGTTTTTAAAATGATATTAAAAATCTCATGCATAAGTAATGATCTTATGAGACCAATAGAATGAGCCTATTTGGTCACATGAATGGACCTTTATATGTGATAAAACACTCTTTATTAGTATTCTTTATATAAAGAATACTAATAAGGGTGACCTTTATCAGATATAGAGGTCCATGACCCTAGTAAAGGTCTCAGGTTTGATACCAGATCGTTGACCAATGCAGGATGTTTATCAGATGCAGTAAAACAGCTCAGCACTTCTATTTACTGGTTGTGATTTAATCACAATGATAATATCATTTATTAAACATTAATTATTAATAATTTTTGATATAATTATCATGATTTCATACAATGTTTACTGTTGCAATTGATTTTAAGCACACATGAGGAAACAAAAATTAGATCATTGCATTAAAATTTTTTATATAGAAAACGTTTGTGTAAACTGTAATTGTGCTGGCAGTCTTGATTGCTCAAACTTTCTTCGATTTATCAAAGCATGTTAAAATACAACTTAATATAGCTGATATATTAGACGCGTTTAGTGAAGGTTAGAGACCTCTTTCTCTGAGAACACAAGGCACTGAATAAAGTGTTTTGTAAAGTGAATTAAAAATATCATGAAGTCTTCCATAAAGAAGAAAACTTATTTATTGCTCCTGTCTAGGAAATCAGGAATGGAAGCTGGGCCTTTTGACCTGAACTCCAATACATTAATACTGAATAATCAAGTCATTCTGTGCATTCCTGAAGCATTAAAAATTGAGCAATTCATATCCTGAAGCTAGACAGGTGCGGATAGACTCTAAGGTGGTGCTGGTTTCTCACACAGGAATGGGTACTTCAAATAACAGTGCTTATCCAACCATTTCYTATCCTTTGCCATGGCAACACACTTTCTTCCTGACACCTTGGGCTGTGGATTGTAGTCTGGTAGGTTCATAAATTGCCCCACAGGGGTACCATCAGACCAGCTAAAGCCATCACTGCCTTCTTGGTTGTTAAGACCAATCCATACTCCTTGCTCATGCCAATCTAGTATTGTATAGTACACAGTATTAATGGTACACAATATGTCATTTTATAAATATTTATATTTATAATTTAATAATAATTTAATATTTTTTTAATAATAATAATAATTATCATAAATTTGAAGGTTTCAAAAGATAAAAGACTGGCAGCCATGTTGGAGGAACGAGAAATTACACAGTCACTAAATTTACTTAGAAATCCCTTGTTTGAGTTCCTTCATGATGGTCGCTATGACGTAACCTGAATGTATATTCTGGCGCTCTGATTGGCTGATAAGAATGGTTATAACACGAGACACACTTGTGAGCTCTCATTTGAAAGAAAGTAATGATTTTTGATAAAATGTTAAAAAATTTGCACTCCATTGTCACTGCATTCGTGGGTTCAATTGAGTTTTGAACGTTTTATGACGTTAAGCGTGGATTTYACTARCACATAAGCATAGCATAAGCACAAGCATGAGAATCTTATGCGTCAGTGAGAACGGGCTCGAAATATGCATAAGACGTTGAGCATGCGCATGAGAGTATTATTTCGGTACCAGGCTATGCTTATGCCTATGCAGTCCCGTTCTCACTGAACATAAGCATGACATAAGCATGAGATAAGCACAAGAAGATCAAGCCTTGCTCGTTTTTCTTGTGCTCATGCTTATGCTTATTTTGAGCCCGTTCTCACTGGCGCATATGACTCTCGTGCTTCGTGCTTATTCCTATGCTTATGCGCTAGTGAAATCCACGCTTAAAAGGGACACTGTCAATGGATGACATGCGCAGTAACAGTCTCACCTCTAACGGACTTTGAAAGWATTACCTTCSAGGTAAATCATTTTGTGGTGCTTTTGACACACTTTGGAATATTCTAGATCTGTTTACGTTTACGAGCTGATCTATGTCGCGTCAACTTGGAGTCATAAACTTGAAAACACTAGCCTAATGTTTTCAAGTTTACTCGCGCATGCTTGCCATTGACAGTGTCCCTTTAAGAGTGCGTCAATAAGAGGACATAAAACTCAAAACCGTGCAAAAACGGTTAAATATATTGCACAATTGCATTGTGCAGGTTGAACCCTCATTTACGCTTAGGTACCTTACGCTTAAGTCGAGTTGAATTGACTTTGTACTTACACATGATGGTAATTTTTTGGCTAAAAGAAAGAGTGCTATTSACAATGACCAAATGTTTCATGAAGCCAAGAAAGCTGGTGCGTGTATGCCCCAATGTGATCTTTCCATGTTCGATGTTTAGTTGTTCGAGTCTTTTAGAGGTAACCGTATGTTTACCGTCTTTGGTGTAGTTAACCTGTTTTGCATCATTGTCCCAAGAGATGCAAAGGTGTTGCCAAACATTTGCCTCCAATCTTTAAAAAAAAAAAAAAAAAATTAAAAAATCAAAAACATAATTGATTAATGTAAAAACGAAGCTAGTGTAATATTGTTATAGTTTAGTGTAGTGTAATGTTAGCGTAATTCAATTCAATAATAATAATAATAAWAAATGAAAACATAGAGATTGCAAAAACTGAAAGTTTAAGCAATAGCGCAGTCTAATCGAGAGCATTATTCCTGAGGAATCTTTGATAGTTGCCCATGGAAACTGGATGTTCCACAAAACAAATACCGCATCACAGTGACTGTATACTTTTTCATATATTTTTTTTCATTTTCTGGTTTATGTTCATTTTTCTAAAATATTTAGGATACTACGCGCGCTGTGATTGGTCGAAAACCATGTTTGATTACAGTATCAAAGCACGCTCGCGTGCGTCAAAAATTTCTTTTTTCCCACCGTTTGCATTTGTTGTTGTTATCATTCATTTTCAAGAACAATGATCGAAGAAATGCCTATTTATGATGTCCTCTAGGATGATATCCCAGAAGAAGAGCTATCAAACGTTTTAGAAGCTGCAGACAACTGCAATGTAAGGAGAATTCATCGTTTCATATCGTATCAAAAGTCAGAATTCTTTACAATTTTCGTACTCTTTTAATTTTAGAAAAAAAATAAAAAACGAAATTCCGTGTTTGATACTCTGATCAAAATACTTGGGATGTAGGGAGAGCACTCGAAAAGCTACGCGACGCTACGCGTCGTGGTTTCCTACGCTTCTCTCGTGCTCTCCCTACATCCCGCGTGTTTTGATCAG